TAACAAGCTTTCCCTGCTCTTCAATAACCCGCTCTTCCCCAGTTGCCTGGGTTGGCTTCGTGGAGTATTGGTAATCGCTCGGTGTGTTAAAAACTCAAGAACAGCAATTTTCTAATTTTTTTAGAAACAAAATTTTTTAAATCAATTAATTTTTCAAATTTTTCAAATTTTGATAAATTAATACCTCGTTGGGATCCTGCCGACTACGCCAATTGTCGCGAGCATCTATTTAGGAATCGGATCCCAAGCTGGGAGCTCTGAATGGCTCCCCGGCTCCGAGGTAATAAGGACTACAAATGATATGTCTTTTAAGGAGGTTTATTGTCACACAAGCAAAGCTATATCAGAACAGATACCACAATGACCATAAACAGAGTATTCTAGTTCATACCTCTAACATTAAGGCAAGTATAATGTTAAGATATATCAGGATTATACGACCTGAGTCCGTGGCTTCGAGTGCTGGGCTGTCGAGCAGAGGTCCGAGCTGCGACGCGTGATCGGTCTTCGTTCCAGCAGAGCCTTCGGCGTCAGTTGGTCAAGTCGCGATGAGTGGCGACGTGTGACGGTCAGGCCGGGTCGCGATGGACGACGACGACTGGTCTTGGGTTCGCCCCTTTTATATCCTTAAGGCCTCTTATCGCTTAGGTAGCACACTCACGATCGATTAACACCTGGTTTCTACATATGGTTGATGACCTAATTGCTATCTACTACATACAGGGATGACTTCACTCTTTGGTTTCACTTTTGGTCTTATCTATCACTGACACTGTCAGCTGGGTTTGACAGCTTGGCCTGTCAGCCTGCAGCGTGGGGAATTTCCACTTGTTGCTTACATGTTCACTACAGTATCCTGCTAACTTACTATTTTGATTTGAGGCTAGATAATAGTTATTATTATATAAATTACACAATGGCTCTATAGTATACTAGAAAGATCAACAAAATGGGGAAAATTACAGATGTATCTGTTACTTTTTTTGGTTGCTGATACAAAATACCTGACACCCAAAGTTAAAAGAGGAAAGGTTTATTTTAACTCACATTTTGTAGAGGTTTCAGATAACAGTTAGCTGGCTCTAAGACAGGGACATGGTAGAGGGGCATCGCAGAGGAGAAACAATTCATGGTAGGCAGAAAGAAGGAGAGCTGCAAAGCAGTGAAGTGGCAAGTGACAACAACAGCCCTCTTTTTATCCCTTATATTTTATCCAGGCTATCCATCCTCAGAGCAAGTAGCACTCACTCCCGGTGGGTAACCCATAACCCTGGCATTACACCATGAATCAATCCCAGCATCACATCCTTAGTCCCAGAATCATGTACTCTAGATCCAGCCACCTCTGAAAAGCCCCATCTATGACCACAGAAAGCTTTGGGGGGACATCTAGATACAAGCCATAATAAGACTTGAGTTGCTATGAACTAGTTATGTAATGTCAGGTTACATATAAGATTAGCTTAGTTTTTAAACAAATTGATACTTAATTTTGATTTTTTAAAATGTACTAGCTTCTTCTACTTCTAAGATTCTACAACTTAAAAATATCCTCATACAATTCACTACCCATTTGCTATTAAAAGTACACTTAAAGATATAGCTAGCAGAGTAGTTGTAACTACATTAATTGGAGGAGTAAGGTAAGTCACCTAGAGGTATGTTGCTGTTAAATGCTTAACAATCAGCTCTCTGAAAACAAATCTCATATACATCTTTGACCTATTCACATAGAATAAATGCTTCTACCACAGATGATTTGAAGCTATTTTAAATCACTGAATGTGGAATTAGGAAAAAATAGATACAATCATTTCATAAGTCAGTGTGTGCTGGCTCTGCTACAATACTGGCCCTGCATTTGTATGGTATTTCAGGTAGAATGCATTCCACTGCAAGTAACAAAAAGTCTAGCTGTCCCTGGCTTAAACAATAAAGGCATTTAAAAGTAGTGGTTCAAAAAATAAATAAAAGTAGTGGTTCAAAGGTTGTTTTAGCAGTTCTACCATCCAAAGTCAGTCTCTTTTCTGTTGAGTCAGTATCTTTACAATTTTCTTGGCCTTGTACCTCATTGTTGCAAAATAGCTCTGTAGCTATAAGTTTTTATGTCCTTTCAGGATAGTGCCTAAAGTAGGAGAGAAAGGATAAAAAGTGAATATCCTTTTCCTTGTTTTATCTCCTTTTATTAGAGAGGAAGCATTTTGCCCAGAAACCCCAGCAGTCTTCCTTTATGTTTCATTAGCAAGCACTAAATGACATGTCTGACCTTAGCTCTATCACCAATAAAGAGAATCTGAATTGCCACAATTTGCTCAGACCAGTAGTGGTTCTAACCCTGGGACTTGACAGGAAGGAGAATTGATGTGCACAGATGATTTTGTCTGCTACACATCAAAGTGGTTCAAGCTGAAAAATACCAATGCTTTCAACTATCAAGTCCAGTTTGATTTGATAATCATTGAGTCTGTTCAATAGGCAAGATGAAAGTATGTATCTGTCTTTCTTTCTTGATGATCACATGCCCAAGAGAGTAGCTTTACAGGGACTTCACAATATAACCATTATCCTTTTTAAACCTTTATGTTCCTAAAAGTCTATATTTTGAAATGTCAATCCATATCATAATTTAACTTCCACACAAAATTTGTTTAATTAATATAAACTACTAACTCAGCTTAGTAACCCTTTGGAGTAGTTTTTAATAAATTTAAAAATTTAGAGTTACTGTCCTAATTCAGATCTTTTATTACGTTACGATGTAATGTGCTTTATTTTATTTATTAATAAAGTCTGCTTGATTTATAGATTAGGTCATAATAATGTACTCAAGTAATAAACTTTCATGTATTTAAAATGAGTCTATAGTTAATAAATAATGTTTTATTTGATAGTTCATTTTGTGACGTTCATGGAATTTGCTAGAATGCAAAATGTGAAGTGGAAGGGAGTACACAGTATTTAAACAAGACTTTGAATGAATTTTTGCATAGAAAATAGCACCTTAAAAAGCCAGAAGATTCTCGAGTTTGTCTCCAAGGATTACAAAGCCTCTTAAAAATACAATCCCTGCTCTCACTCTGCTTCTTTATATATTCCTAATTATCATGTGTACTCCTCTCTTTATTTGCAAGTGCAAATGAAAGAACAGAAAAATGTTACTATATAAGAGTCTTAATAATACAACAAATGCCATTTCTTACTTTTAGCCTTTAATCATTGAAGCAGTATGGGGAATAGGAGTACATAATTAGATATTTATTTTTATTTTAAAATTATAGAAGGTTGTTACTAAAATAAAAACATTACAGCAGTGAAATTCTTTAGGTTGTCCAATCATGCCAGTTGAGGTGGTATATGAGCACATAGGTCTAGAGAATTCTGTACTCAGTGTAGACTGCTGAGCCTACTTTTAATTTTGTCTATACAATATGACTATATTGTCTAATTTGAGATGTATTATATACCTCAAGTCTTGAAGAACTTTACATTTTAACTGCTTAATACTTTTCCATGTTGCCCATAATGCCTAACATTGAGTGTCAAGAAGTATCTGATGCTTTGGAGTTTTATTTTTATTTTATCTTGGAAGAGATTCCTCTGTCATTCACTCTCTGACAGAGTAAATCTAAATCTATCAAATTAAGAAAGAGCAAATTGGCATTTCATATAATTTAAGCAAAACACTGCTTGAATTATCTGGATTTAAATGCTTCCTTTAAAAATGAGCATTTCAATGCAAAAAGAGAAAAGCTTAGCATAGAAAAACATTGTTCTTGAATTTGGTTTCTAAAATGGCAGGCTGCGGGTCAAATGCAGTGCACAAATATACATTTTGTCTACACAGTACTTGAAAGTCAAGAGGTCACCCCTGAAAACAAACCTAGATTTCTAGCTTCTCTTGAAAATAATTAAGAACTAGTAAGACAGAGTTTGCATTTTTATCTGGACCTATTTCACCATCCCCACACCCCACCCTAAGCCTTTTGCTACCTTCTAACTCTGCACAATCCCCACTGTACAGTGGGCTCCACATTTGCTCTGAGCACTCCCTCCTGGCCAGTATCTTACGTGTAAGGTGTGTAACTTGAATTTGACTGTGCAAGTGGTTCCTTGATAAGGCCACTTTCATGAAAAGGATAAGTGAGGGCTGCCCTCACCCCCACCCCACCAAAACTTGCACCTAAGAGGCCTTATTGCCTAAAGGGTGCATTTCCCCCCTAATTCACAAAAAGGAGACTAGCAGCCCTTTCAGGATTCTAGTTATATGAAGTCCTAACAGCAAGAATTTTGTCTTATTTGTCTCATTTGACTTTATAATTTTTAGGCCTATGCAAGTCTAGGACATACAATACAATAGGATTCAAAAAATGTGAAGCAAATAAATAAATGACTCATGAATACATGTTTTTAGTTTCTACCTTCTACCAAAATTTATTTTCAAGAACTCTCAAAAGAATTAAGGTATATTTGGAGAAAATATTGGCAGTTTTATGCAGTTACCAGCCTAGAGAGTTCTAGATCTTCTTTAATGAATTATTGGTTATAACTCAAATGTTCAAAGTCACACAATTGCTTCTGAAATCTCTAGGAAGAAAAGGAAAAAAAAAAACTAGTTCACTGGCCTATCCCTAAAGAATAATACATGCCAGTATTTCTCCCAAAGAAGCAATATTTTTCTTTACTAAATAATTCTGAAATAAATGTATGATGTGTAGCCATCTCTGCGCAAGAGTGGTGGCTGGGGAGAGTTGGTCATGGAATCTTGTCTTTAATAATTTCTTTAATGCAAAAATGGCTACATCCTTTTTCATAAAACTTTCTCAGGATAATACCAAGTGAAAGGTAAAGGTGTAATATAAAATCTGACTCAGAAGAAGCTGTTCTTAGATGGCCCAGAAAAAAAATAAAGATTCAAGTAAGTGGCTTTCTGCTGTTGCACTGTGACTGAAGAAGAAATCTTGAAGCAGTATTTTTCAAAAACAGATGCACAGATCCAACAGCAGGATGACCAGACAATATATAGAAACCATACTTCCACAGAGGAGGAATCTCTGGGGAGTTAGCCTGTAAAATCTGTGGCATTTTCAAGTTTCCTAGATGATTGTTAAATCCCTTGAGAGCCAAAGGACCTCTGCCCTATGGCAGTGGTCTCTAAGCATTTTGCTTTGGTGTTCTGAAAGAATTTTGAAAAAGTTGATATCATTTTGTATGTTTTAAGTTGACATCTAAAATTTCATTCTAATTTTAAATGGTCATAAAAATAGAATTTCTGGTATATCATAATATTGACATTTTCAAACAAATATCATATCACTTTAAAATGTACTCAATGAATCTTAAATGCTCATATCTGACAAAAATCTAAATATATGAACACATTTATTCAGCAAAGTTTTTATATTTTTTTCTCCTTGAACTTGTTTCCTTCCTTTCATCAACAGAATTTTATTTTAATGAAATGTGTTTTATGTTTGAAAGTCTTTTCTTAACACCTATTATACTTCTTTACAAAAGAATTACTTTTATCTATATTGAAATTTTATTTTTATTTCATGTCACCATAAAGTGCTAAGTGTTAAAAATATCTTCAGAATCAAATTAGAGTTACAGTCATTAGCTGTACACAACTGACAAAAACATGTGTATTATATATAATTTATAAACATTTTTATATAGAACATTAATTTTTAGAAATAATTCTATTAATTTAATGTAATAAACTACTTTAGTTTGTGTGCTCATAGGTGATTATTTTTATTAGCTACTTTTCTCTCCTTGCTGAGACAAAATATCTGACACTCAAAATTAAAGGGGAAAGGGTTTATTTGGTTTACAGTTTGTAGAGGTTTCAGTCCATGATCAGCTGACTCCATGGCAGGGTGGCAAAGGGGTAACAGTTCATGACTCCAGCAGGCAGCAAAAGCAACAAGGGTGTCTTGCTGCTCCTTTTATCTTGTTCAGACTACTGGGATCAGGGTGAGGCCCAACCAATCACTCACGTGTAGAGGTTTAGTAAACACACCCCCTTAATCCTAGCATCACACATTCTAATTCACCCATCTATGACTGTATGAGGCTTTGGGGAGACGTCTATACCCAAACCATAACAACTACCTATTGTTGGGATAAGACAGTCTTTCAGAATCAATTTTATCCATGTATTATATATAATACCCATATATTATATATAACACAAATAAGTAGATAGGAATGGAAGATATTTTGTTATAGCAATGTTACTCAGATCTTTGACATGTCTTCTAAATTATACGCCAAAAATCGTTGTAATTTATTATAAAATTTTAATTCTAATAAATTTAACCTAGCAATTTGATTAGGTATTTTTTCAATTTTTTTGAAAGCAAGGAATTGGATCACTGGTCCGCACAAAAGAATTTGTAATTCAGTCATTAAATTATCCTCTCTCTTTATCTCCAACACAAACATTTTAAATTTTGGTTAGTTTAATGCCCTCAAGGATTATATACCCCTCAAAAAAAAAAAGCACTGAAGATTTCAGATAATTAAAATTGTATTACATTCTTGTAATAAATGGGGAAAGGTGATTAGGAAAGGGGAGGTAGCAAAGAAAAGGGGAACTTTCAGGCAGATTCATTTTAGTAAGTAGTATTTTGTGGAAATTGAAGACCTGGTAAGAGAGTCCCTTAAAACTACCCTTGCTTCATCGGTCTTGAAGTATTTGTGAAAATTCACATACCTCCATTTGAAGACCAGTATCTGAGCACATTAAAAAGATGCCTTACTTTAAAAAAGAAAAGACCTTCAAGAAAATTTAAGAATCCCAAAATTTACCTCAAGCTTCTGAAGACCTTGAGTTCTCTCCAAATTCAGGTATAGACTAGTTTGGGACAGCAAAACAAAAAACAAGGAATAAAAGAAAAGAGGTGACAAAATGGTCATAATAAAGCAAAGGGAGATATAAGTGATCTTTAAGAGTCAACAATTGCTTGCTATTATGATTTTGTCGGTACTTCTAGATTTTAGTTAACATAATTCTTATAATCCCCTCAAAGCAAATTTCTCCTTGGAATTATAAGCTGACTTTCTGCTGGCAAAACTAGCACTAAAATAGTATTGCTCTGAGTTCTCTAATTATAGAGCAATCATGCTTTTTCTTAACAGATACTAAAACCAAATGCTATAAGGATGAGGTCATTGTGAATAACGATATAAGGCCTATTTTGAGGTATCACATGAATTTCAGTGAATTTTATGCAATGAAAGAAAGCATCAGATTCAAGGTTTACTGTAGAAAAAATTCTGAATTACTACTATAACTTATCCCCATAATGAAGAATTTCCACAAATTATTTCCTAAGAAGTATGTTCACTGGGAATGGGAGCTGTAGCTCAGCAGTAAAGCATTTGCTTAGAAATATGTTCATTGACTGCAACCTCTATTCTTTTGCCCCTCACTCCTCAACCTCAGTACCTTTCCAATGTCTGCTCTTGCAGACAGTCTCCTCTTCCATCTTTTTCCCTGCACAGCTTGAACACTACAATCAACCTTTTGATGGATAACTCACCAGTACTCTCAGCCCCCTTACTCCCTTGAACTTCTGCTTGTCTCTTCTGCCAAGTCCCAGCCCAGAGTCAACCAACCATCTGTTCTCTCAACTATTCCTTTCAGTTTGCCAACTACTGCTGGAGAAAATTGCAAAACTTCTGATTCATGACATGATAAATCACCAATTTGCAAACTCACACTGACCCTTAATACTACATGGCAATCTTTCCCCTCTTGCCTGATTGACTTCCTTTGCCATGACTCAGGTGCAATTCCAAATCTCAAGTCATTGTTCCTCTGAGGTTTTCTATCTTTCCAATCAACAGATGGCCTAACTTTCTACTTCAGAAAAAATTAGTATTCCACTTCCCTCCTTGCCACTGCAAATGGTAATCTGCAGCTTCACCCTGCCTTCTTACTGTACCCATCAATTATGCCCTCTCAATACTACTGAGGTTTTTAAGAGCTGTTCACCATAATGTCTAAGTAGGTTATTATAAGGCAAATATTCTCCTTGGAATTTATATTCCAAGTTGAAGAAATGGATTGGAATATTAGGAAAGAAAAACTACTGATTAACTTGAGAAAAGTCCACATAAGATTAACATGTGTTCATCCTCTTTGAATCATTTATGAGCAAGGACAAAAAGGAAGGTGAGTTGGTATGCTGCCTACCCATTAAATATTTTAAAATTCTTTCATAGTTCTGCCTGCCAAATATCACAACGTGAAATTTAAAGAGGCTATGCTTTGGTGATCAATGCCGTTTTTGTCCTCTACTGTTTGCTACCACCTGTCACATATGCAGTCTAAGATGCTACTACTAATAATTAATCCACCCAGCACTTTCTTTTGGGGGGAGCGGGGAATCCAGTACTTCCTTTCAACTGTGAGGCTTTTGTTCATCTTAATTCAATTCAAACTTTTCATGGATATTTCTAGGGCAACCAATGTGAGTTATGGTTTATCTGTTATGGTTTTTCTAATTTAAAGTAACATTCACTAGGTATGCATGCTTTAGTGAAAGTTTTTGTAGAGACTTTCTTCAAGGAGGCTTTGCTGTAGAGGATAATTAGTGGAGATATGCATTTATCTAAGGGCAGGTCCAGATTTTGTGAGATTTGATTGAATATAACTTGGGGAGGTTTCTCTTTCTAAAACATATACAAAATTATGAGTGAAAAAGGAGTTACAGAGCTTTTGGAAAATATCTTGAAAATGAAGGGCTCTGAGTTTACAACATCAGAAAACTCAGCTTTTTTAAATCTATTTAATTGGGGCATCAAACAAACTTGGAACAACCAAAATCTCACTAAATATGAATACCAAACATGAACCAGGTACCACTATAATACTGAACTGTTTGTTGTAAACATGAAATGGAATATATAAAGTGGCTGGTTTCTGAGAATACAGAGGGGTTAAGTTACTCTGGAAAACACACCTAGAATACGGCTTGGAAATGCTCAGTCAGAACTTGAAATTGACATAGTTCACATCTGAAATTTTCTCTGAAAATTCTGCCTTAAATGTTTACTTAAAGGACACACACACCACACACACAGGTGTGCACACAAATAAATGTATAACAGTATTATCTCCTACTGATACAGACATAAATGATACAGATGATGATGAGATACTTAGGGTTCAGAAGATGTGTGATTCTATAAAAAGAGGAAAATTGAGGCAGAATCAGAATCTGAAGGTAGACCTAGAATTACAGCCTTCCAGGAATAGAGGCCAGCTAAGGAAGGGCACACAGTATGGTACAAAATACATCTTCTTGCTACATGTCCAATATCCTTTTACCATGACATTATGACATCAGATTTTAAAGACTGGAAAATAATGACAATGGATCATATAATACATATATAACATTACTTTATTATGCTCATACTCTTTGCCAATTTGGCCAGTTTGGTCCTCTTCCTAACCCTCAAAATTTGGTGGTGTCCCTTTCTTTTCCTCACTCACAAATTCAGTACTTCACACAGATAGGCATTCTACAGAGAACTGCTGCCATGGTGCTGATGAGTTATTTCTGAGAGGTCACCATTTTCTAACACAATAGGAATTCCATTATGGAGATACACTGAGATTCTACGCTATTCACTCAAAGACTTCAAAAGAATACTCATGGCAGTAGGCTAAAGCTAAAACAAGAATTAATCAGATATAGCTAAGTATTTTTCAGTCAACAATCGGCTGCTCATGCTACTTACCTGTTGCTTTTGTGGGCTAGGACTATTGTGACATCATGCTGTAGCTAAAATCAGTCCAACAAAGCAACAGGAGTCTCAAGAACAGCAGCACAAAAATGATGTCTTAACCGAATAGGCAAAGAAGGCATATATTTTCAGGAGAGCCTCTTTATTCTTGGTTTAGAAGTTCCCCTTCAAGATGACAAGTGGTGCAAACTCTTCAGAATCTTTTGTGCCCTCAAAAAGGTGAGTCCTTAGTGGAAGAAGCCAAACAGCAACTATCCAGGAGAGAAAAATGTCTTTATTAACTCGGGCTAATGGCAGATATTATGGTGTCTCTCTTCCTACAAAAGCTCTAAAATAGATGACAACTACTTGAGGGAACTGAATGAGGACTTAAAGATAAGGAAGCAGGAACTCCTAGAGATGCTAAAACCTCTAGAAGATAAGAACAACCTCTTATTCCAGAAGTTAATGTCTAACTTGGAGGAAAAACAAAGAAGGTAAGGACTCCCTTCTCAGGTATCCTAGAGATTGAAAGACTCGAGAATTTAATCTCCACAGGATTAGCAATGATTACTTATATTGTTTTGTTTTTAACTTTGGACATTCAGTTCCAGTAGAATGTAAAGAATTTGTAACACAAAACCAGAGCTAAGGTGAATCCTTTCCCTTTTATTTTAGTAATATTAAATATGACTCAGCCTTCATCTCACAAGTCTAGAGTTGCTAATTCTTCCTCCCTTAGTGCCCCCAAAGAAACAGGTGAAAGTCTTTTAATAACTTTGGTCTATTGTGGTCATACCGATAGTTTCTGCCTTCATCTTTGCAGAATCACTTTAGGATAAATGACTCTGAGCTTTCTACACTAATCAGTAGCAGAATGAATTTTTTTTTTGAGGCTAGGAGCTCTTTGGATTTGGGCCTAGCCTCTAGTAATCATATTAAGCTCCTGAGGTCTTAACTGTTTGCTAAAATACTTACTGCTCTTGGGATTCATCAACTCTCTGTTTCCTGTCTAGTCTCAGAAAATCTTACTTCGATTGGTGTACCTTCTTTTTATCATAAGTAACTAAAGGAATTAGACTTTTAGAGACTTCAAGCCAGGCAATAAGTTTTAGTCTAGCACCAGCTGCTTACAACTAGGAGCACAGATTCTCCCAGGGCAAAAGAATACAAAGGCATGGCTTTATTCTTTGGACTGGAGAGGAGAGAGGACAAGGAACAAAAATATAAATTAATTAGGGCCTATGAAAATGTCCTCTTTCACAAAGACTTTACACTGTTTCAGATTTTGTTAGGAACTTCTTAAAGGTTTGCATGCTCTGAAGACTACCAAAAAAATCAAATGTCCATTTGAAGACTCAAGGAAGTAGAAGGTAGACAGAGATAGTACAGGCCATAAATCTAAGATTTCTCCTGAAGCCATCAGATTTTTTAAACCACCTTTATAGGGAAGAATCACTCCTTCCTCCCCAAAAGTCATACACTAAAACATTCTTTGCGGGGACAGAAAGGAACTTCACTGGCTGTTGGAGACCTAAATTGTGAACAATGAAAAACAGAATTCAGCTGGGGATTTAGCTCAGTGGTTCCACTGCCTGCCTTGCAAGCGCAAGGACCTAAGTTAGATCCCCTGTACACAAACAAACAAACCAGAATTCATTAATAAACATGATGACAAATGTCAATTAGGAATGGAGTCATCCTAGTTATAGCAAACTTATACCTCCAAAAAGACTTCCATAACTGCTAAAATTTCAGCACCCATCTAACTTCCATGGTAGAGTACTTTCTGGCTGACTCAGAAAATTTATATTACTATTTAGAAAGTGTTTATGTTTTATGATATCTCTCTTTCTTCAGTCTGCAGATCATGAGGCAGATCATGGCAGGGAAGAAATGTGATAAATCCTCAGTTGTAGAGCTCATTAAGGAAGCAGAGGACATGAAACAGAACCTGGTAAGAGGTTGGTAGGTACTCCCGAACAGGGCTCAACTCCACTGCTGGTGAAGGAAGTACAAGGAAAGACAGACTGCCAGTTTCTCACGTCTGATGCTCCAACATTCCTATTTCTTTGAGACAGAACACCCAGAATGATCCAAAGGGAGTCAGATGGTATTTTGGGAAGAACAAGAACTAGCAAAGCAAAATTTTCTTTCTTTGGCTTTTTAAAAATCTTTCCAACTAGTGGTTAATTAATATAAGCATATTAACCCTTCACTTTGTCATAGGCTAGGCAATATCCATTAAAGTAGAAGAAAAAAGTAGCTTTCTCTTAGGGAATTTAATCTTTCAAAAAATCAACTATGTAAAGGATCCTAAAAATTAGAAAATATTGATCTAAACCCAGAGATAGTCATACAATGTGAACATCTTAGAATTTAGAACTCATTTCTATTGATACCATCATAATCCTCATATTTATTATTTGCAATAACAATTTTTTTAAACCATTGTCATCAAACTCATCTCTTGAATCCCTGGATTTTGACTAGGTCCTTTCATTACTGCCTTCCTCTGTGGTTTATTATGTTCCAGGACCCTTTTGCCACCATTAACTTGGTAATTTCTTCCAACCTCACTTTAACGCCTGAACAACACATATCTATCTTTGTTTGGTCCCCTTGCCCAACAGGAAAGGAAAAACAAGATGCTTCAGAAGGAAATGGAGATGCTATGGAACAAGGTGTGCCTCTAAAGATCTGGAAGTGCTGTCCTGCAGATCACGATGAAAAGAACCTCCCATGCCTCCCATCCTCACTTTTTCATGTCCTTGCTTCCACCCATGCCTCATTTCAATGCATTCTTGCACGGCAGCTGAATCAAACACAGAAGCATGTTACTCTTATGAAAACCCTTACAGCCCTTCTTGTTGCTGCATAATCTGGCTCAGGCCCACCTCTCCATTCTCCTCTCATGGAAGTCCTCCCGTTTTCCATGAAACTGCCATACCTGCATTCTTGGGAATTCTCAAACATGCCAAGCCTTTTCCTATCTCAAGGCCTCTGTTTTTGTAATACTGTTTTCTCAGTTAGCTCATTCTCATCATTTGAGTCCCCACTTAAATATCACTTTTGCATAAATGTCCTCTTTGTTTATCTAAAATAGAGCATCCTCCTGGTTTCCATTATACAACTTTGTTGATGCCCTTCACTGCACTTTTCATAATACAAACTTATTTTTATTTGAAAAAATACATAGCTTTTTTTCTTGTCCCTCTTCCCCATTCTGGGATACAAGCTCCTCCTGTATCTTGGTTGCTCTGTTTGAATCCCTAACATCTACGTAATGCTTGGAACATAGTAGAGAATCAATAAATGTAAGTTGAATGACTGGACAAATGAATATCTAATTCAATAATTTCACAACAAATATTGCATAATAATGACAAGTTTAGGGCTTTGATTTTTGACTGGGAAACCAGGAAAGGGAATTCCTTTGTGGACTAGCCCCTGGCACCCAAGTGCTTTTTCATGGACTATGCAACTAGAACAGCAGATTATTCCTGTGATATAAACAGGTGCGTCCTGTGATCTCTGACTGCTTTTTACCATCTCACCTTTCCAGAAATAATCAGGATGCCTCCAAGTCCCATGCCTTGTGCTGAGATTTGCTCCTCATTCTCAGCCACTGCTCAGTTCTGTAAAGTGTCAGAAGTTTTAGTTCCTAAGTTCTTTCAACATTATGATAGAAAATTCAGTGCAATGTAGCTTTTCTAGATCCCCTAAATTATTTTTTATAAGGGATATTTATACAACTTAGCTCGTGATCAACTTTTCCATTTCCTTTTTTTTTTTTTGAGATAGGATCTCAGGCTGGCACTAAACTCACTATGTAACCCAGGGTAGCCATAAACTGGCAGCAATCCTCCTGCCTCAGCTTACTGAGTGCTGGGATTGCCAGAATGTGCTGCCACGCCTATCTTCCCCATTTTTAAACAAGAAGAAATGGAAAAGAACAGCATGACTAGTGGCTAAGAATATATGCTTTAGAGCCACAAAGATCTGGTTAAACTCCAGGTCTGTCACCGTATAACCCAAAAAAATGACATAACCTCTTCAAATCTCAATTTTCTCACCTGTAAAATGGAAATAAAAGTAGTCCTCAAAGACCTTTGTGAATAACATAAAATGATTATAATGTAGTAAAATAGTGAAAATAATGTAGTAAGCAGCTTAGTGATTGACATGTACTAAAGGTTCAATTAATAATTTTTATTATTGTAACATACGCTCAAGGTACCAAAAGGATGGGCTCATTACATTCTGAATCCCCTTTAACAGTACAGTTGCCATATTGGGACCTGAGAATTTGTTGGCTGGCAGAAACTGAAAGCCTCATAGTGGATTTCCATTTCTCTCAGTAACTCCCACTAATTTAAGGATTTGCCAAAAATGTCTCTCCACAGTCATCGCAGATAGAAGAACTCCATGATCAACAAAAAGCACCACAGATCAAAAACAAGGCAGACTTGTACGATGGAAAAAAGGTAAGTGAACTGCATGTATTAGAATGTCAAGTACTGAAAACAGACTTGATGATCAAGGCTAATTTTGGTAGGCAGACGGGATATCCAGGCTTTTAGGATATATTGGCTTTACGGTCTCCCAAGACAGGGCACTTTTTTCTTGGGACCTCCTATGCCTTTAGTTCTCTACTTTCACCCCAGGTTTCTAAATCTTCCTTATCATCTAAAGAGCCAAGAATGAACTGGAGTTACCACTTGCAGAGAAAGTGAAGGAAATAAGGATGGTAGTGTGTTTTTTTAACTGATAAATTAGATATATTTAGCTATGATATGTTCCTGAACCATACACATTTTTATAAGCAATTTGGTTCCCCTGGAATATTATATTTGAGTTAGGAGTGATGTCACAAGTTTCTAGGAAATCATTTTAGCTAGGACAAAGTTAGAAAACTTACACCAGCAATGACAACAATTCCACAACAGTCATGTGATGTCAGAACACTTGTTAATTGTCCTTGGAAAATTTGCATGGGGTATTATATTTGCATCTCATCTTCCCATCAGCAATGTATTCACAGAAAATGGCCTGTTCATTTATCTTTTAGTTTTGAGAAAGTGGATTGTACAGAGGAGGCAAATTAAGACAATTTTGCAAGTGAAGCCAAACTAACAGTGAATCTATGACAGCATAATTTCACTATAAAGTTATTGCAGCAAATTGAGAAAACTGATTTTTTTTATCTCGATTTACTTTATCACCCAGAGGCTCTTTCTTCCACCAGGAAAAGAAACAGGAAAATGGAATGGGTCAAGTATCAGGAACAAGCCAACACCCTTCAGGTATTAAGGTCTTCCAACGGTGGACATGGGATACAATCTTGTTTATACGTGCAAAGATTTAGCTTAAGCCCAATCCCCTCATCCTGTGTTACAAGCTGTGCTGCTAAAAGAAATGCATCACCATGAGATAGTTGAAGTGACCTATCCCTAGTTTTATCTTGAATTACTTGGAATAAATAGTTTTTCTCCCTATGTCCTTGATTTTGTTCTATCTGAATCAGGGTGGGGGAAAATAACATACTACTGCCCAACTTTAAAAGATTGACCAGGGGGGCCAGGGATTTACCTCAGCCATGCCACCACCTGCCTCACAAATGCAGGGTCCTGAGTTTGATCCCGGGTACAAAAAAAAAAAAAAAAAATTCAGGTAACAGTGGATTTACAAAAAACAACATTATATAAGTAGCTTTGAAAAATGTCCTCTTTCAGAATGACTGTCATGGAAAAGTGATTGAATTGAGAATTGAAGCCTCAAAGAACTATCAGAAGGCTAATGACCTGAAATTATCACTGTACTTACAGCAGAATTTTGAGCCAAAGCAAGCATTTTTAAATCTTCCATGATCCCAAGGTAGGTAGAGTATCACAGGCAACAGTTTGAAGTTTGTTTATTACTATTGGAGAATCCATTGCTTGTAAAGTAACACAGCACCTAGCACACAGAACATTAAATGTTAGTGGTATAATAATAAAAATTTTCACTCTCATCATTATTAATAGTATTCAGAAGCTCTTGGACTAATGTTAAGAATTCTCTTTGAAGGAAATTATGCATACCTCTGTAAAGATAAAGTAATATATTAGGTACTTAGTATATGTAAATGATAATAGAGTTGATACTCTACAAAGTATTAGCTTCCATCTCATCTTTTCCTTTTTTCTATGAATTAGAGTTGTTTCATTTCACGAATCTTATTGTAGTAGACTCTGCTACTTCAGAGCAGAAGATCAAGGGCATAGACATCTGACAGTGGCTGTGAATTTCACCAAGCCAGATGTTTCTCTAGGAGTTTCAGCGATTTCCCATACTGAATTTATGTCATTATTACAGGAAAACATATAGTTTTGCAGAAAAAGGTGAATAAGAAGCCAGGCATAGTGGCACCCCTGGCAATCCTAGTACTCAGAAAGCCAAGGCAGGCAGATCACAAGCCCACAGACAGCCTGGATTAGATAGCAGGAACCTGTCTCAAAACAAGCAAACAAAAAAACAAACAAAAACAGTAATAAAAAAGTAGAACAGAGGAATGGCTGTGAGGGACAAAGAAAGGATTCTTAAATTTTCATATATCTATGAGCCTGAACTTGTTTAATGGACAAGCAATGAGAAATCATAGCTAAGGACAACAATGTTCTATCAGCAATGGTGTATATATTTCGAATTTCTATTCAGTTTTATTCCACAAAAGGCTTGAAAGCTTATAAAAATTGTACGCACAACACATAGGATTAAATAAATAAATAAATGGGTAAATTAAAGGGAAAAATACATGAAAATGCATGATGGAGGTACTGTGTAGTTGGTAGAGATAGGTTATAAATTTGATTCTAAATTCCCCAGCAAAAAGAAACATGGATTTACACTGTCCACAATGTAACAACAAACCAATTGTTTAGCAGAAAGTTTTTCCTTCTATTGAGACCTGAAAGAAATTTCTCCTCCACATATTCACAATGGGGACAGGATCCTGTACACATGATAGTAAACATTAATATCCTCACTGATATCCTCAACAATATTTTAAAATAAATTCTGAATCTAATTTTCCTAGAATGTTTCTTATGTGCTTCTTAGCACAATTTGATAGCATATTATTAATTTGAAATTGTTTAAAGGAGACAGATCAACTTAAGATAATTTGGTCGCATACCACATAACACTCTGCCTTGATTCATAGGTAAATTTTAGAACATCTAGAGAACTAGATCAACTACTTGTCCTTCAGGCAGTGTTTCTCACATATTTCTCTTTTAATTTATATTTTGAGAAGAACTGGACAGCAGAAAGCTGGAAAGGAAAAAGCCTAGAATGCAACCAGAAACAATATGAAGTCATTAAGATACAAATTAAAAAGAGAAGAGAAAAGGGCCATGAAGAGGACAGAAAGATTCCTGGTTATCTCATTCAAAATTAGCTAAAGGTTATCCAAAGGGATCAATATAAAGATCCAAAAGTTTTAAAATTCCAGATTCAAGTCTAGATTAGTATATAGTGAAGGATTCCATTCAACGTGAGTGCATTTTTTTCCCTTGCTCGCAGAACACTGAATCAGTTTTAACCGGGATGACCCACCCGTCGTCCCTTTTCTCCTTCATCTCCTTTTCTTCCCTTATAATCCTAAACAAATAAAATATTGGGCAGGAGCTAGGCTTGGTGGTGCACACTGTAATCCCAGCACTCTGGGGAGCTGAGACAGGAGGACCACAAGACTCAACAAGATACTGTCTCAAGATAAAAATAAAATAAAAAGGACTGTACATGGGAATGTAGTTCAGTGCAAAGGCCCTGAGTTCAATCCCCAATACCAGAAAAATAAATAAATAAAACAAAAAAATACAAACCAACAAAAAGAAAGAAGAGAAGGTATTACACTGTTCAGTTACCACTAATGATCAGTTACTAATGCAGCCTCAGGCATAACTGACCCACCGGTCCTGTGTTTTATTACGCATTCACTGAGCATTGGTCATATGTCAATTTCATTTTCTAACACATATATTCAAACTTTTAGGGTTTGTTTGAGCCCAAGTGTATATAAAATATAACAGTCCTAAATGTTTCCTTATTTATAATCCCTACTGTTTGACTATTAAAACAAAAGAAATATTAGCTATCATCATGGAAGAATTTTAAAAGAAATCATATTAAGATAGTCATCAACAGTGACATGGTAGAGAATATTTAGTGTTTCTCAACTTTATATGTTGCTTAGACTATTGTTTTTTCAATTTTTGCTATTTTTTCATAAATCCATTACTTGAAAATAAAATGTACATTACCATTTTAAATGAAAAGCCAGTATAGTTTTATAGAGGATAAAAGTAGGAAGTATACAAAAAACAAAATTTTAATGTTCTAACAAGATATTTGAGCCTCAGGCCTGTTTTATTCTTGAAAATAAGATTAGAAAAACAGAGAATTTTAAAGAAAATGAGGATCAGATTGGTACTTTCTCCTTGATGCCACCAAATATTTAAAGTGTGAAAAGGGAATCATTTTTGATCTGTGATTTATAGTATTGAATACTGTGTTTCAACACCACCTAAATTTATCCTAGTTGTACTTAAAATCATCTCACCATCATGTTTTGAGAAGTTGTAATTTAATGAAAAAAAGCTCTGGTTTAGAGTCATGCATATGCGTTACAGGCCCTGCTCTGAGTTACGTGACCTGAGCAAGTCATTTAATTTCAAATTGTTTTTTTTGTTGTTGTTGTTGTTTTTGTCTAAAACAACCTTGGCATTTTATAAAGCATGTTAAGAACTTCTCACTTTTTGTAACCTTTACATTCTTTGCAACACAAATTATAGAACAAGAAACAAAGTCAGAGAAGCTAGGCTTCTCACTCTGTAAGCAAATTTTAGCTCTTCTAGATCGTGGCATACAATGGCAGTGCTAAAGTACAGGATTCCTCAAGCCTCTTTCAGCCCTACAAGCTACAATTTAAATCCAAACTTTTCTGTGTTGAAGGTATTATCCTCCCAATGAAGAATGATATTCGCTCCCCAAAATTTATGATTTATTCTGTATCAAAGAAATCAGGGCTACAAAATGGGTTGAGATATATGTAATTTTGCATTTTTCCCAGTAGATGGCACCAACCACATCCAGGCTTTAAACAGATAATTCAGGAAGCCTGAAGGGTCTTCTATTGAGTTTCTATTACCCTTAGGACAAAATGCACCACATTTATATACCAAATTTAAAAAGCAAAAAAACAGCCTATTGATGTTTTGTGTTGTGATCTATGGTACCAAGATGTATTACTGACAGCACTGATTAAACCTTATTAAAATCAATATTCTACCATATAATCCTTACCTATCATTTTACTCCTTGAATTTCAGGGCTCTCCACTCCAAAAAATAGTCACAGCTCACTTCCACCTCAACTCTTATCTAATGTTGTTTCTCTCTACTGTAGATAAATTGGGCAATTTGGACACTTAAGTAAAAATGGGAAAGTGCACAGGGTTTAAGTATTTAATAGTGCTTCAATTGTCTTCCCTTTATTTTAGCTTCAAAAGAATTGAAATTTATAAACCCGCCTTAGGAAAAGGTGAAATACAACTTTGGACACACCTCCCAGCAAATCAGTGTACAGGCCCTTCAGTTCTGGGCATTTCCCATTAGAGGGAGGTTTTACCCTTCGGTTCTCCCTCTGTTCAGTGTGCTGGTTGGCTGAGTTGCAGGGGTGTGATCTACTTGGTTGACAAATATTACTGACTTCAAGAGCATTCAAGCAAGCTGCACTTAAGAATTCTCTTGAGACTTGCATGTAGCATTTACCATTGTCAGTCTTATCCGCTTAGCATATCTGCATCACCTGTCTTCTAAAAGAGAAACACTTTCCTGTTGTTTTCACCTAGGGAGAAATCTTTGCTTGGATCTTTCCAGATACAGGTCACATTTAAGGAGATTCACTCTTCCTAGCAGTATAAAATTGTAATTTGACTCAGGGTGTACAGCAGCTATTTCCTGGCTTTTGTAGGATCAAGAAAGCAGTTTGTGACCTTTAGCAGTCACCTTAGAGAGCAAATGCAGTAAGCAATCTCTAAATTCAGCTGAATTTCTCATCACATTGGCTGATGTATATAAAAAAATTTATCTTCAGCAATAATATAAATTGTGATAAGATCACTGATTTTGACAACCTTTTCTCTTTTCCATCTCTGACTCTTAGCATTTTCTTCAGCTCTTTAAAAAGAAACAGAAAGTTCTTTGAGAGGAACCTGAAGGTTGGGTGTGGATATTATGTTACACTTATAAATTCAAATGAAAGCCCATGAGATGGGAAATAAATACTCTTGGATCTTATTTACTCAATAATCCTCTGCTCTAAAAGGAAGTCATTCCTCCCACCTTTAACCTTCACTTCATTTTACTATTCCTCTTCCAGATAGCTGCAATACACTTTAGCAGGTGCTTGTGAAGGAAAAATAATGTCACACTAAAATGTTCAAAGGAAGGGGCAGAAAACCACAGCTACCTTAGCTCTAGGTCTTTAGTAAGTGGTTTTGCTCTCAAATACAGGCTTTTATAAGTGTGTTTAGGCAACCTGACCCTACTGAATGTTAAAATTAGGTTTGTAGTATTAGTAGGTTATGAGACTAATGTCTAAGCTACCTCATTCTTTTGCTTCTCATAGTCTCACACAAGTCCAGGGGGAAAGTAAAATCCTTTTTTCCTCCTAAATATAAAGTTTGAAGCTTCAAAAATCTAAACTGTACCCTATTATCAGAATTCTTTTAGTGGGGTGCCAATAGATTGCATTGCACACTCAGAACAGCAGCAGGATGTCTAGGATGGAGTTGTTATATTTAATAAAAAGAATATTTGGTTAAATTTCAGATAAATGATTGTTTAGTGTCAACGTGTCCTGACTATTGCATGGAACATACTGATACTAAAGTTCATTGAGGTTCACTGAACTTCAAATTAACTGAATGTCTTAGATTTTAGTCTGGCAACTTTAATCTAGGCTACGGGGTCTACACATCACCTTGGAACTCTCCCTTATTCCCTCTTTTATCATCTCCCTTCTCCCACTCGGCCTGTGCCTGCCTCCCCCTTTTCTTCCCCTTGTCTTTCTCTTTTGTTTTCTACCAATCAGAAATGACTGTTTTTGTGGGGCAGATGTGTGGGTGATCTGAGTGTGTAAATTTGTACATGTAATTTATCATTTGACTTCTTCATTTAAGTGCTGTATTAGAAGTATATTTTGTAGACTCTCCAAGTTGTTTTTATTTGCCTGTCATCTTCATATAGTACCCCCGACAAAGGTATAATTTTTCAATTATAAAGGACCATCACTCCAACATTAAAATGATGCTTGAAGTTATTTTCTAAAACAGTTAGAAATTTCATATCAGAGACTGGCCTACAATATTACAGTTACATACTATGATAAATGTTAATAGTTTTTCAATTTAATATCTAGATTCTTTTCTCAAAAGAAGCTCTTTATTTTCCTAATGTTTTCCACCAGGTACTATGGACACTACAACTACGGGCAAAACATCTTTCGACAGAAATAAACCCAATGTGGTAAGAATGACTTTCTTTCCTTTTTGTTTCGTTTTGGGTACTGGGGATCGAACTCAGGACCTTGCACTTGCAATGCAGGCGGTGGCACCACTGAGCTAAATCCCCTGCTCAAGAATGACTTTCTTTTCAAAATTCAACAATTTTAAAAGATTTGTCGAAGTCTATTTTTGCAATGTATTTGTTTTTGTGTTTTTTGTGGTGTTGGGGATTGCTAACAAGCCTAGGCAAACTAGGCTTGCTAGACAAGAGCTTTACTAGACCTGTTTCCCCCCAAACAAAACCTGAACAGAAACTAGTTATCCTTGAAAACTAGCGATCGAAAATGCCAGCCTTACCTGCCATCACTATTCTCTTGATTAGTGGGTACTCTGTAAGGCAGATAAGGTAAGGATAGGCTGATTGGGTCTGGCATTTTTGATTGCTAGTTTTCAAGGCTGATTACTTTCCAGCTAGGTCTTACTTTTGAGAAAAAGGTACAAGGCTCACCACCATAATGGAGTTGTTGACATACATTCTAATTTAATAATTTTTAGAAAATCTGTGCTCATTGTTGCAACTTTTTTTTCTATTTTAGAGAATTCTGGGATTAAAAACCTGCACAGAACAACAAGATGCTAAAGAAAGTCAATGTGATGATGTAGTAGGTAGGCTCTTTTTTCTGAGGTCACTGCCAGATGACACTCAGAAGGATTACAAGGCTTTCACTCCATTTGCTTTGGAGAGATTTAAAGACTAGGCATAGCCATTTGTGTTCATTAAAATTTCTCAAACCTTTGTTTTACTGCTATTTTCCTCTTGCTCCCCCACCAATCTGGATGGAAATGTTAGATGCTTGGCCTTAAGCGTGTCAGAAATTTAGTCATCTAGGGATTATAAACAGCCTCTGACTATTTTGTTCACTTTCAGATTTGAGATGACTAGATTCAAACCACACTGCATGTAGTTAAATTTTTAAACAGGATTCTTCCTTACCTATGAGGTATTTAGTGTTGGGCAGACACACGGCTGGCAAATGAGTAGTACTGACAAAATGAAGAAAATCATATTCTCTAGACTGCTGTTACTCTCTCACCAGCCAGATCCAACTGCCCTGTTGATTCTACCTCCTTGCTCAGGCCCTCTTTCTTGCCAGGATTACCACAGCCTTTTAATTAGCTTCCCTGCTTCCAGTCCCCCCAATCCATCTTCTGCAGCACTACTGAACATATTGTTTTAGAAAGAGAAATGAGAACTTGTCACTCCGCTATTGGTTTTTCACTGACTTTATTATAAAGTCTAAACTCCTTTGCATACCATAAATGATCTGCCTCCTGCCTCCTTTCTCAGACTCATCTTTCATTTTCCCCTTCCTTCATATATCTTACATCGAGCTCTTACAGTTCCTCTGAACTGCCATGACCTTTATTATCTTCATGCACAAAGCTGAAAGATTTTTGTGTCCTTGTCTGTTTCACAATTGCCTATTTTGCTTAAGGACTGAGTTTAGTGCTCTTCTACCCCAATTATTCTCAATTCTGTATATTAAAATTTCCTAGTGGGCTTTAAAAAATAGCATTTCAGGGCCGGGGATTTAGCTCAGTGGTTCTACCACCTGCCCACCTGCCTCACGAGTGCAAGGACCCGAGTTCAACCCCCGGTACCAAAAAAAAAAAAAAAAAAAAAAAAAAAAAAAAAAAAATTTCACTGGGTCTTTCTCCAGATCATTTAAATCATGCTGAGAGATAAGCATCTGTAGTTTTGCAAAGCTTCCCAGGAAATTCTAATATGAGTTAGGTTTGGGAGTCATCCTTCTAGGCTCTCTTTCTTCTATCATAACATTTAATGCACTATATTGTAATTATTGATTTACTCAACTCTTTCTCTAACCAGATGGTGAGCTCTTTGAGGCACAAGGCTATGTCTTATTTTTTTTTTTATTATTTTAACCACCCATCCACCCACCCACCCAACAGCAGGCTTGGGGATATAGTAGAGGCTTAATAAACAGTATTGTATAAGGGTCCAGATATTTAATTGATGAGTCTGTCTTGATGTACTGTCTTGTATAAAATATTGGATTATATTGTCATTCCTGATATCTTCTTTTACTCTGATTAGATTGTCTTTAATTTTTATTTCATGTCAATATGAGAAAATTTGTCAAAAATGCTTCATTAGATATATCATGTACTGGTACAAAATCCCTATGATAAATGTTATCTTTATGTACCAATAAATGTTTTGCTAAAAAAAATTCTTAGAAATCCCTTATCCATTTTTGGTAATAAGCAAAGTAAGTAAACCAAATTCAAAATCTTTTTTCTCCCATGGTTCAGGTTAAATCCTTAACATGCATTTTAAGGGTAAATCTTTTTTTTAATTGTGCTTTTAACTGGGGAAAGCTTATAGAAATCACAGAATTTTATCTTTGGAAGGAACTTTATATAAGAATAAAGTTCCTTCACTTTACAAAAGAAGAAAGAGTAACTCAGTTACATTGAAAAGGTGTTCCAAGTCCCACAGTTAAAGTTAGAGCTAGTCACCAAAGCCTATGTATTATTACTGCTGTTCCAATTTAAATCATATCTTTCTTCTCCTGACCACAAAAAAATGACTATTTCCAAAGCCCTGAGATTAATTCATGTACTTCCAGCTGAAATACCAGAGTATATAATCCATATTCTGTTTCAAGAAAGCCACCTCTGTAGATAGATTTGTCTGTGGGAGACTTTGACAGTCCTGAGATTTTCCAAATCAACTTAATTAGACAAAGAAATGAGAATAAAAGGAATATAAAATTTGACTGTTCTGATTACCTTGAACTAGTTAACATAGGGCCTTAGATTCCCAGTTTAAGATTAGATTGAAAGAGCACCATTTAAATGTTTTTTAAATTATTTTTTAACCATTACAATAGGTTTAGATTAGTATATAGTATCCATTTTTGTTGTTAAATAAGGCATGATATAAGCTAGTTTACTTGCTAGCAGAGGTTCATAATTTCTTTGAAAATGAATCACGTTATCCTATTATGGCTTGTATCTAGATGTGCTCAAAAGTGGGGCTTTTTGGAGGTGGCTGGATCTAGGGTGTGTGAACATGAAGTAAGGGTGTGTGACTTGTAGCCTGAATGGAATAAAACCATTAGGCTCGTAGCCTGAATGGAGACTTATTGCTGCTGGCTGAATCCTGCCTGCTATGCCATGGACTCTTTCTTTTCTGCCATGCTTCCCTGCCCTGGAACCAGCTGACTGTGGACTGAAACCTCTATATATTGTGAGCTATAATAAACCTTTTCTCCTTTAATTTGTGGGTTTTGGGTATGGTATCTCAGAGGTTAGAAAAAGACATCCCAAAAGTATAGAAATTTTAAGTTCGTTATCAGTCAGGCTTATCATCTTTCCTTCAAATGCTCCAAATCTTTCAGTTTATTCAAAACTAAAATATAGTCTTTGGTCAAACTTTGTTTATAAGATTACACAATTGTACTCTGATTTTCACCTATAGGAATGCAAAGGTGTCACTTAGATTGGCTATTTGGAAGCAGGTTTCAATAGTTTGGTTGAATCAAGAATATGGATCTCAACTTTTTGGGTAAAGATTCATTTAGTCAATTTATCCAAAAGATCAGAAACTGGGCCGGGGATTTACCTCATTGGTTCCACCACCTGCCTCACAAGCACAAGGACCCAAGTTCAATCCCTGGTAGAAAAAAAAAAAAAAAAC